GTTTCCCTTTCCTTTCCGATTGAAAGTGGAAACGAACTTTCTCATGCTCTATTCATCTCAGTCCGGTTGCCTTTTTTGCCAGCTAATGCCAAGATGTCGTAAGTAGAGGAGCTACAAGGTAGGGACCAGGTAGAGGAATTCCGAGCCGCAGAATCGCTTCTCTTTCTTTTCCAATTGAAAGTGGAAAAGGAACTTTCTCATTTCCTATTCAGATAAATAGTACCTCATTCCTTTAAGAGGCGGAGAAGCTTGCTTCATATCGCTTCTCTTTCCTTTCCTATGAAAGTGGAAACGGCACTTTCTCATTCTCGAAAAAAGTATCTCATTCCTTTAAGAGGCAACGGAGCCGCCCTGTTTCCTTTAAAACAAGGCGGTTCAACAGTACCAAATTTTCTTAGAGGTTGTCTTGAAAATTTGGTACTGTTGAACCGCCCTGCTTTCTTCAAACACGGCAGCACGCCTCCAGAAAAATGGCCTCCTTGCTATCTCTCTCCTCTCTCACTTCCCTTTCCCTTCTCTCCTTCTAGTTTCTTTTAACCGATAAAACACAAGAACGGAACTTGCGTGATAAAGCAGTGGAAGGTAAACCGAGGGTGACTCCTTGCGCGTGGACCTTGCCGTACTTCATCATATCCCTCTTCTCGGCCTATCTCTTCTGCTCTTTTTTCTTACTGTTCTCCTGTTCATAATTCTTCCTGTTTAGTTGTTCTTATTTCGAAAAGAAAGAGGGAAGGGAGAGATAAGGGAGGGAGGAAAGATAAAGAAGAGCGCCATCTTCTCAGCGCCTTGTTTTGTCTCTCCCTCTTCTCTATTCATCTCTCTTCTATTCTTTTCTTTGCTATTCCATTGAAGTTGGGTTCCCTGTATCTCTCCTCTCTCCTTCTCTCTTCCTCCTCTTCTCCTGCTCCCCTCTAAACGGTTGCTCCTTACAGATAGGTGCCCTCCCTCCTCTTCAGGAAATATCCTTTCCCTTACTTTGCTTTTTTAAGCGAAGAAAACAACAGATAAGAAGAGAGGAAAGGGAATGACTAAGTAAAGAGAGGAGCCCTTCAATTTCCCTCCCTACATCTGATGTTACTATTCTTTCTTGGGTGGTGCCCTTCTTTCTCCCTTGAAGATGCAGAAAACTATCAGGAAGGACACCCGTTCCATCGCCCATATAGAGAGAGAGAGAGAGAGAGAGAGAGAGAGAGAGAGAGCGAGAGAGAGAGAGAGAGAGAGAGAGAGAGAGAGAGAGAGAGAGAGAGAGAGAGAGAGAGAGAGAGAGAGAGAGAAAGAGAAATCATGAGCATCAGCTGGGTTTGCTGCCGATCCAAAATGGGCATCCCTTTTAATCGCCTTCTGTGTCTTCAAACGAGCAAAAGGGACACCCTGACTAAGTGTTTCCTTGTGGTGTCCCTTTTCCTCGCTTGAAGATGCAGAAAACGATCCAAAAAGACACCCGTTCCATCGCCCATATATGGGGAGAGAGAAAAATCATGAGCATCAGTTGGGCTTGCTGCCAACCCAAAACGGGCGTCCCTTTTAATCGCTTGCTGTGTCTTCAAACGAGCAAAAGGGACACCCTAAGTGCTTTCTTGTGGGGTCCCTTTTCCTCGCTTGAAGATGCAGAAAACGATCAAACAGGACACCCGTTCCATCGCCCATTTATAGGGAGAGAGAGAGAGGGAGAAATCATGAGCATCAGCTGGGTTTGCTTACATGTTCATTAATTGTTCTTCCTTTTGTCTTTTCTTTCTAACGGACATGAACAAGAGAAGAGAAAAATAAGAAACAGAGGAAAGATGAAAACGAGCACCGTCTTCTCTTTGCCTGATTTTTGCGCCTCCCTCGCCTGCCTTCATTTCTCTTTCATTCTTGTCATTGCTCTTCCCATTAGAGTTGCATTACTTTTGATCTCTCCCTCTCTCCTTTCTCTCTCCTTTCTCTCTCCTTCTCTCTCTCTCTCTCTCTCTCTCTCTCTCTCTCTCTCTCTCTCTCCCTTCTCTTCTCTTGTTCTCCTTTAAATCTCAAAAACACACAAAAGGAAGCTTCTTTGCCTTTTTGAATGAAAAAAGAAAAGAAAAAAGAGATAGGGAAACAAATTGAAGAGCTCCACCTTTCCTCTCGTTCTATGTGTTGCTTCCTTGTCGTTTCAGAAAGCAAGCAAAATGAGGGCAAGGGGGCTTCCTGAAGAGGAGAGGGGGCACCTATCTGCGAAGAGCAAGAATAGTCTTGTCTTGTTTAATTATAGAGGGAAAAGGGAGAGACAAAGAAGGGAGAGATTACAGATAAAGAAGAGTGCCATCTCCTTTGTGCCTTGTTGCGTTCCTCCGTCTCCTTGTTTCTTGTCTCCTCTCTTCTGTTCAGTACCCTTCCAGAAAAATAAGTGGCCTCCTTGCTATCTCTCTCCCCTCTCACGTCCCTTTCCCTTCTCTCCTTCTAGTTTCTTTTAACTGATAAAACACAAGAAAGGAACTTGCATGATAAAGCAGTGGAAGGTAAGGCAGAGGGTGACTCCTTGCGCGTGGACCTTGCCGTACTTCATCATATCCCTCTTCTCGGCCTATCTCTTCTGCTCTTTTTTCTTACTGTTCTCCTTTGCATAATTCTTCCTGTTTAGTTGTTCTTATTTCGAAAAGAAAGAGGGAAGGGAGAGATAAGGGAGGGAGGAACGATAAAGAAGAGTGCCATCTTCTCAGCGCCTTGTTTTGTCTCTCCCTCTTCTCTATTCATCTCTCTTCTATTCTTTTCTTTGCTATTCCCTTGAAGTTGGATTCCCTGTATCTCTCCTCTCTCCTTCTCTCTCCCTCCTCTTCTCCTGTTCCTCTCTAAATGACAAAAACACAAGAAAGGAAGAACAAGATGGGAATGGAAGCCCTTTTCCTGTCTTCTCCTGTTGCAATAAGAAGGAAAAGAGCACAGGAGATAAGGAAGGGAATTGAAGAGCTCCTCTAGCAACTTTCTCATGCCCTTTCCTTTCTATCTACCACACCACAACACGACCCTCAGCTTCCAAATAAACCCTATTTAAGCCGGCCACCCCCCCCTCCCCCTCCCCCCTCTCCTTTATAGGAAATGAAAACTGGACACGAACGATGTCCTCTATCTTTTAATGCAGCAGGAGAGAGCTCCTCTCTCTCTTAATGGGACATGAAAGTCCTCCTGTGTTTGTTTTCAATGAAAGATCTGTCTCTCGAGGAAATGGAAGATCTCCTCTATCTCTTTCTAGGAAACACTTCTTCAAGTAGGAGAAAGGCTTTTTCATAAGGTGTAAATCAGGAGCTCTGTCATTCCCCAAAAAAGAAGAAGGAGAGAGGGGAGCCCTTGGAGGACCCTTTTCAGAAGAGGCAAGGGCACTCATTACCTACACAGAGATAAAAGAGCTTTCAGATGACCTAGACACATGACTTTCGATTGAATTCTGTGGCTCATACTACAATAACAAAACAAAATGCATTGAACAGCAGCACAAGGCTATGGAAACCACCATATTTTCAGAGAGAGAAAAAAAGGAATTGAAGTTGAGCAACTTAGTTTCGATTAGAGTTTGTTGTTCTGCAACAACAAAACAAAATGCATTGAGAAAAGAGAAATAGCGCAAGGTCTACGGAAAGAACAACTTATTCAACAAAGACAGCAAACATAAAGAAGCAACCGAAACGAACGTTGTGCAATTTAGTTTCAGGTAGCTTCTGTGGGTTTTGTAAAAACAATACGGTATAGAAAAGCGCGTCGGTTAGACCCTTTCTCTTCAAAAACCTTCGGCTAAACCCTACACACCAAATTCGTCAAGTTCTGTGGTTAGACTCGGTTAGACCCTTTCTTTGTAGAACCTTCCGTCCATTACCCTAAGCCCGAAATCTCGTCAATTCTGTGGTTACTGCCTTTCTCTCAAAAAAAACAAGGGTTGAACTGCTGAAGTTTAAATATGTAGTAGTTATAATAGCTTCCAAAGGTTTAAATGCTTCTGCTTTTGTGGCAGGAGGAGCCAGCAACAGAAAGTGTCTGGCCAAAGAGATTAGGGTTTAAATAGTCCATTGTATATAAACAAAAGACCTATGTCAAATCATACGTAAAGGTTCCTGCCTCATATATATATATATATATATCCCCATTGTTCGTCATGTGGAAGCTTTGCGGACTGCAGGACCTTGATTCCGAGCCGACGCATACTTCTCGGCGCGCTGTCGACGAGTCCCCAAGGCGCAGCAGTATCAACAACCGCGGGTCGGCACATTCAAAACTTGGGAAGATGTGAATATAAGAACAAAAACATCATCCCCCGACTAAACATATTGACGGTTGAGGATAGATATCCGCGACTAGATTTTCGAGCTGGCATATTGTAAGCCACATCGACGACTGTCGACCCTCACATCCTGATTGGCCCACCCTGAACCTCAAGACCCTACTGAACCCTGAGCCCAGACTCTGAGCCCCAAATCCATCCGCTCGACCCAAACCCACAACCCTGAACCCAAAACCCCTTCAAACCATGCACCCCCAGCCGTTTATCCTAAACCCAAAGGGGCGGTCTTGGGGTGGGCATGTGCTTCTGAACAAGTCTACACCCTAAACCTATAAACCCTGTAAACCCTATAAACCTTTTAAACCGTATAAAGATCCCTTACAATCATATGAACCCAAAAGAAACCCATAAACGGCCCGATAAAAACTTTGATAACCTCAAAAGCCGAAAAACCCGATAGACCCTGCAAATCCTACGACCCCTAACCCTATTCGTACCAGGACATGTACTTCCAAAAAAAAGAAACCCAAAAGCCCAAAACCCTATAAACCCCGACACCAACCCTGAATATTGCCTCCCAGAAAAAAACACTCAAAGCCCAAAACCCCAAACCCTAAAACCAAGACCCTAAATCCTAAACCGAAACCCGAAAGCCTAAACCCTAAACCCTAAACCCCAAACCCTAAACCCTAAACCCGAAACCCTAAACCCGAAACCCTAAACCCCAAACCCTAAACCCCAAACCCCTTACGACTCTTTGTCTAGTCACCGCGGCAGCGCCGCCGCGGCTCCGAGATCCGCCCCTCCCGAGATTCTGTGTGGTTTAGGGTTTAGGGTTTAGGGCTTAGGGTTTAGGGTTTAGGGTTTGGGGTTTGGGGTTTGGGGTTTGGGGTTTGGGGTTGGGGGTTGGGGGTTGGGGGTTGGGGGTTGAGGGTTCTGGGTTTAGGGTTCAAGGTTTGGGGTTTGGGGTTTCCGGCTTGGGGTTTGGGGACTGTGGTTTGGGGTTGTTCGGGGTTTGGCGTTTGGGGTTTGGGGTTTCGGCTTTGGGGTTTGGAATTTCGGGCTTGGGGTTTGGGGTTCGGGGTTCGGGGTTGGGGTTTGGGGTCTTCGGTTTAGGGTGGGGGTTGGGGTTTGGGGTTTGGGGTTTAGAGTTTAGGGTTTGGGGTTTGGGGTTGGGGTTACTTGCGATAACCCCAAATAAGGCTTTGAGCCAGTATCAGCCAATCATAACGAGAAGGCTTGTAGGGCGTGTATAGGGTCTGATCTCGAAGGGCAGGGCTTCATTCTGGACAGCGCCCTTTGATCGAGCTCGGCGCTGGCAATTGCTTGCAGCTGACCAAAGACCAAAATCTAAAGCGTGCTTGTTGAATCGAGGGATCGTGCTCGATTTCTGGCGTACCCTTGTCAAGACTGCCGTGTAGATTGTGTAGCTTGTGTAGCTTTTGTAGCTTGTGTAGCTTGTGTAGCTTGTGTAGCTTGTGTAACTTGTGTAACTTGTGTAGCTTGACAAGTGGCGTCGCCCCGTTGGCCAACAATGCATCGCGACATGGCATGCTTTGGATGCATCGTCAGGGACCTTGCAAGCTGGCAAGTGCCGAGGCCATGTGTTCCGACAACGCAGATGCGCAGGTGGGTGAATCGAGAACCGTCAAGCACGCTTTGTGATAGGGTGGGGGCGGGGGGGGGGCGATTCAAAATGGGCAACGGGAAGGCGTTGCCGTAGCTCACCATGTTGCAGGATGCCAAAAGCAGCCCTGCTTCACAATGCAAGTTCTAAGTTGCAGGATTGTGATGAGTGAGAAGGACTGCTGAGACGACATGATGCCAACCGAGCAAAATGTCAAGCAGTCGGGCGCCGAGCGCTCTGTCTTCGGGAAGTCATGGCCGGTATTGCCGCTACAGGTCTTGCTCTGGCTGCTGCGCATGCATGGTGCGAGCCAGGACCCCCATGACATGAGGCCACGCAGAATAAAGCAAGACGGAAGATTCACATCAAGACCAGCGGAAGGATAATCCTGAGCCTCAGCATGCCTCAGCAGTAGGAAGGAAATCTTGAGAGAAACAGCCACAATGTCCACACGAGCAACGAAAGTTACAGAACGAAAGATTCCAGGGCCTGCAGACCTGACCGCAGAACAAATTTCACAATCCTTACACTGAAACCCCAAGCCCCTTCACCGGAAAGCCCTGAGTCCCCAAAAGCCCTGCAGCCTGAAACCCGAACCCCCTGCCCCCACAAAAACTCCCCGAACCTTCCTGCTGCACAAGCCCCAAGCCCTCAAAGAAGCCAAACAGAACTGCCTCGGCCCAGGTGACGTTGCAGCAGCGCAAAGACCCGGTGGCTGCCGGCCGCAGCCAGGAGTCGCAGGGCAGACCTCGCGTCACCTCTTCGAAGGCTTTGGGGGGGGGGGGGGGGGGGCCCTCGCTGGGCATCTCCTTGGAGATTTTTAGGGCTTTGGGGCTTTAGGGTTTAGGCTTTAGGGCTTAGGGATTATAGGGTTTAGGGTTTAGGGTGCTGGCTGTGCTTGTGGATAGGTTGGGTTTAGGCCGTTTAGAAGCTGAAGGCTAGGGCACAGCGCAGCGGTCATTAGCAATGCCAAAGGCTACAACTGATGCAGCTGTGCCGTCACGCAAGATTGTTCTGCCCCCATCCTTGCCCACGATGCCCAATCCCAAGGCACAGCCAACGGATGAAGTTGCTGCACAGGCGCCCCTTGCTTCGTGCAGCGATGCTAAAACCTCAGAAGCACCGGACTCCTGTCGAGGGCAAGTGTGTTTGTTCCGGCGTTTTCGCAGGCTGTGGAACGAACCCCTTGCATGAGCTGAGACTCTCAAGGCTATCACACATGCAATGCACCGCTCCTGGCAATTCTCGTCTTGTGGTTCCCAAGCTGGGCCTGTCGTACCAGCGAGTTCACTTTGCGACGTCGGACCTCTTTCAACTGCCAAGTCCACACACGCCAGCCTTCCATGCTCTCAGCACTGTCACCAGGCTGTAGAGCCTCATCTGATTCCATCAAACTCCGTTGTGGTGCACTGCATGCTCGAAAGATCTAGAAAGAACAGCAATGACGACTGCTGTTGCTTTCAATGGCAACTCACAGACTTTCCTGCACTGAAGCTTATCCTGTGCCAGCGGAAGCCTGTTATGGGGACAAGCATTAGTGATTAGTAGGCCCCCGTGCTCTCTGAAGCGCGGCCATGAGTGGCCTTGGCGCGGGACTTGATTTCGCCAAGGTTATTCTCCGGTCCCACGGTAACTGGTCTGAAGCCTTATCCACCCTTTCACGAAGACCAGGATATAACAAACAAAACCGTCATGCACGAAGCCAAGCCAACTTGGTGAAGCAGTCACGACCAGCTTCGTCGAAGCAGCGAGCAACAGAGCAAACTAGAAGTTAGAAACATTCGATTCTTTAGATGAGCGTCTTTGTAGGCTTCGCCGTCTTCGGCCACAGCTTCAAAGCTTCACACAGGGCCGCTGGTCCTGGGAGCTGCGCAGCATCCTTGGGTGCACGAAGCAACCTCTGTGTGTCTTTGCTTCCCGTCGTTACCGCTACAGTCGCTACAGACTTGCTCCCTTGTCCCGTGCTGAGTACGAGGACGCGCGTGTTGTCTTTGCGTGTTGCTTCATATTATATACACCATGTATTCGGGCGCCGTCTTTCTCTACAAGCGTTACAATGTGTCAGTACCTTTCCCAGGAACCCCTGAGACTCTGTGAGTCTCATGGCTCTTGACCTGTTTGTGCGTGAGCTGCAATAGCTGTGGACTGTGGGGCGGGAACTGAGAGACCGCAGTTTTGTGACGCAGATTGCGCAACGTGGTCCGACAAGGATGACATAAGGATCACCATTGCTTAGCACTGAACCTCAATTTTGCTTCCTCGAAAAAAGCCTACATCACGCGGGTACCATGAGGACCTGAAAAGGGATCTCTCCCTAAACCCTAACCCTAAACCCTAAACCCTAAACCCGGGCCAAGGGGCCAGCTGCGCCAGGCTATGCACAAAGTCCCCGGAGAGGGCAAACCGCTGCGCGATGCGAGCGAAACGCACGCCTGACGGGCCCCCAGGCCTCGGCTTTAGCGCTTGCAGCTTGAGGTTTCAGGACCTTAAGGGCAAAGCGGGTTTGGAGAAAACACAACGTGTTGCAAGGGTTTAGGATAGATAGGGCGTACTGCGGGGGGATGGGTTCTGGGGCTTTGGGCACCAGGTACTAGCATAGGAGCATGAGCAACAATGTGCTGGTCACAGCTGGGCCGCTTCGAGTGAAACTCGGCCAGGAGTACGTCCTGGCAGGCACCGAACCTAGCCTTCCTACGGGCGCAATGGTCCAAGCTTGACCAGGCCACCTTGGTGCACCATGACCCCGGAACTTGAGGCTTCTAGTGTGGTCTGTTCAGGGCTTAGGAACCTTAAGCTTGGCCCTCGTGTCAACAGAGGCCACAACAGAGCGTCCGGCACAACCTAGAGGTCTTCGCAGCATTGGTCATTGAACGCAGTGTCACACGGAGGAAAATCCATAATTCTGTGGCGCAAGAATGGGCACACAAGTGGCAGCATGGCCTGATCCCAGCCGACAAGCAAAACGTCGTCGCTAAGCCAGCATAGGCTGCCGGAAAGCGCCGAGTCTGGCCGCGTGATGTAGGTGACCTCGCGGCAGCGCTTGAGGCTCAAGATGTGATTCAAAAGGGGAATCGTCACAGCGGCTCCAAGTGGCCTTTTGGTAGGTTTCCACGTCGACGACCTTCACGCCCTTGCTGTTGACCCAGGCTACCAGTCCTCCACGCCAGCGTACAGCCGTGATGGGCCCCTGGCAGGGAGCCACGCAAGCACCCAGGAGCATCCTCAAGAATCCTGACACAAAACCAGCCTCGCCGTGATGGAGGGTCGCATGCCGCGTCTCCTGAAGCCGCACGGCACTTGAGTGCACTTGATTCTGGTCAACGTTAGCCACTCCAGGATCTTCATGAATCTTCATGCCACCCAGAAGCGAGAGAGCCGCGGCGGCTGAGGACAAGGC